CAAAGCCAAACATACTGGCTATTACTTCAACATATATAGAAGGAAATGGTAAATTTTGGTTAGAGGTTAGTGAAAATAAAAGTATAATTTTTTCCCATCCAAGTTTATGGATCCCCTGAATTCTGAACTCCAGAGTTAAGAGCTTTCATCTCAGAAAAATGACACATACTAAATGTTCATCATCATCATCATCTCAGGCCAGGGGACTCCCGGGACTTTGAAATCAGACGGAATGAGTTCCACACTCAATTGCTGTGTGACTCAGCCCAATCTCTACACCTCTCTGAACCTGTTTCTTCCTTTCTAAGAGGGGAATATCCAGACTTTAGAGCTGTGAGAACATCCTCTAAGTACTTTGAAATCCAAAACAAGGGGTAGATCTGAGTTATTATTGCTTTTATTCTGTAGGGAAGAGCCCGGGAGGCCATCTCAGAACCTACCCCTCCAACTGTGTCACCTACTTCAGAATTCTCTACCAATGAGTGCCCCAATACCTGGCATTAAAAGCCTGTCATGATCTTACCTGTAACCAGAAACCCAAGTCTGAATTGGGTCCATGCATGGCCCACATAATTGTCTTCATTTACCAATTTCACAAACTGAGAACTCCAGCTTCTCTGGAACTTGGCCGGCTCTGGCAATCCCATCCCACCTTCAGACTTGGCATCGAACAGCAAGAGTGGATCAGCAGCTTCTTCCTTCAAGTAGGACAGACTCCAGCTCTCCGGGTCCCACAGGCCTCGCTGCCTTTGTCAATCAGTGGGCTCCAAATCTGCAAAACCCTCCTCACCTCTCTGCCTTTGTCCTTTGTTTTATTATTTCATTTATTTATTTTCATAGACCACATTGTACATCTGGCTGTGTCCTTTGCCTGCTATCCTCACACCATGTACTGCGCCCCTTGAATATTCTGTGCTGCAACCTCCTTAAACATTTTTGCCTCTTTGTACAGCAGCCTCCCCAAGGCATTCTGGGCAAGTCCAATAAATTCTAATAGAGCCTTTGTCATGCTGTTTGGTAGACAGATCCTGATTTCATCAAATACCTATCCTGAGCTGGCACTAGATACAGAGGTGAGAACCCAGCTAACCCCTGTCCTCCCTGAACTCACACTCCTGTAGAGGAGAAATGACAAGAACTTAACCACCACTCTCTATACCCACTCACTACCTAAAAAGACTGGGGCCCTAACAACAACAGTGCCTTTACTCTGTGCCCCCAGCACCTGACAGGGCTATGCTGTTAGGGGCACAGTAAATGGCAGCTTCTATTTCAAAGGATTTTACGAACATAAAGGTTGTACATATTTGCTGCAAAAATTTCTAAGGTTATTAAGTGAAAGGAGGACATGCCCTTTTCCCAGAATGTCTCTATCCTGTTCCCTAGTAGGGGTTACTGCTAAGTTGCGGGTATTCTTCCATTTTCTCTATATGCAGATATTCTACATACTATTTTGCAAATTGCACTTTTTCATTTTATAATTGGTACTAAATGAGATAATACATGTAAAGTGCTTCAAACAATTCCCAGCACAGTCAGCTAGTATTTTTTAACATATCATGAACAGCTTTCTTAACACATTAACTGCCATGTGAGTTGTATTTAACTCATGCTAGTCGTGAGCCTGGGGCCTCATGAAGCATATGAAGACTCAATTCTCTGAAACAAATTCAGTATGTTGTGAGTCACATATAACTCAATTGGTGTGCAGTGTAAAAACTGATTCTAGCACCATGTGAGTTGCATATAACTTACACACAGAAAACAAAAATAACAAATTTTTCATAAAATTAGAAAGGATTGTTTTATTTTCAACGTTTTTTTTTTTTTCAGAGAAGGGGTCTATTGCCCAGGCTGGTCTTGAACTCCTAGGCCTCAAGCAATCCTCCCGCCTCAGCCTCCCAAAATGCAAGGATTACAGAGGCATGTCACCCCACCCAGGCTTCAAAGTTTTTATTCTATTTTCCTAACAAAACAGCATGGCCCTATACATAATACAAATTTTATTTAAACAAAACATCATGGCCCCAGGGGAAAAATTTTTTTTTCTAGTTGGCAATGGGTTAATTGGTATATGCAAATCTCTGTTTATTATTGTCCCCAAGCTGAGTACAGAAGTCCCTACAGGAACTTGGGAAAGAGATGAAATGAGCCCTCCCTCAAGGTAGGGGAGGTTGATCTCATAGAAACCAAGTAAAAAAGGTGTACTGTTGAGAGTAAGGCCAACAAGGGTCCCTCCCCCTCCTTTGCTGAATGCTGATTGGTGGCACCCAATCATCTACGGTAGGGACAGAGCCTGGACCAGGGTTGAGGGAGGCCCGCCCAGTACCTGGTCCAGGCAGGGGACTCCTGAGTGCTGCCAGCCAAAGCCTCTCCTGCCTACCCAGCTTGGTCACCCTGGTGGATGGGGGAGGTGCTGCTCAGGCCTGATGCTGATCCCTCTTGACAGCTGCTTCTAAGGCTGGCAGGATGGCAGGCAGTGGGGGAAGGGACCAGATTTAAAGGACCAGCTGCCCCGCCCCCTGCCAGACCTGGGCGGGCAGGCACGGGTGAGCATCCTCTGAACGAATGGGTCTCCTGGAAATCAGGGACCCCTATAGCCTGATACAGGAAGTCAGGGACCCCTATAGCCTGATTTCCACTTCTTGGTACCACGAACACCAATGGTCTTCATGTCCGCTCCAACCCTACAGGCCGCCAGGGAGACCAGTGCCCCCCACCATGCGATTTCGACGTTTGACCCCTGGCTATTTCCGGGTGCTACAGGTAAGTACCCCTGACGGGTGGCTTCTGGCACTACTGACCCCTTCCGCCCCCTACCATGCCTGGTTTGACACCCCCAACAGCCAGGCTGTCACGTTCCCTGCCGCCTGAGCAGCCAGGGCCCAGATGGGCAGTGAAGCGAGAGGATTGGGGTGGAATCTCCCTGGGGCACAATGGTGTCCATGTCTCCTTCACCTCGCTGCAGCTTCTCAGCCCTTTCCCACTCCCCACCTTCCTGGAAGTCTCAACGACCCCTCAGGCGCACCCCCTGTGCACCCCCAGATGCAGATAGCTGGGGAGCTCAAGGCAGAGCCCCGGAGTCCGCTGGCTGGGGTTGTGGCTACACTGCTGGCTGTCCTCGGGCTGGGCGGCTCCTGCTATGCTGTCTGGAAGATGGTAGGGCAGCGGCGGCGGCCACCACAGGCCCCATGACGCATCAGGGAGCCTCTCACCTGGGCCCTGGGGGTAAGTGATTGGGGAGGAGGCTGTAATCTCAGGAGTCTGCTTCTTTTCTGGGGATCAGTCTGTGCCTTCACTGGAGTAGGCCAGAATAAATCTGGCCCTACTCCCCTACTCCACACTGCACCTGGGTTTCGTCTGGGGGCTTTGAATCAGATACTAGGATCTCAGAAGGAATGCAGGAATGCATGGATCCCAGAGGGATGCAGGGATGCAGGTTCCAAAGCTGGACCAAGTGGGGAATAGACACCCAGGGCCTATACATATGAAGTAGTAGAGAAACCCTTACAGGGCAGGAGTTTGGAGCAGTGGCCTGGAAGTTAGAAAGTCAGAGGCGAGCCCCCTTTGTCCAGTTTCTTTATTGGGGGCAGGACACCCAGAAGAGGCCATCCACTCCCCAAACCCAGGGCCAAAAGAAGCTGGCACACTCTCCCAGCCTAGTCCGTACATCACTGTCCATGGGCAGCTCCACTGCCCTGCATCCCCAGACCATGTCAGGTGGATGTGTCCATCTCAGGGACCTCAGTGGACACTTCTGTGGGCACTGCAAGCAGCTTAGGTGGAACATAGGAACCCATACCCGCTGCCCTCTCGGCCTCTTCCTGACTGTAGGGCTCGACACTCAGCTGCTTCAGCCTGAGGGAAAGAAGAGTAGGAGTTGGGAGCTGACCAGGTGCAAGACTTGCCTGCGGAGCAAACATCCATCAATCTTCCTTACTCCTTCATACCTTTTCTTGTGGTCTTTCGATCGGAAGTGGGTCTTCAGGGTGGCAGAATCGATGAAGTATCTCCTGTAGGGATGAGGGTGAGGAAGAGAGTGAGGAGGTGACGTCTCTTAGGTATGCCTATCTCCCTGACTCTAGGCTCGTTCCCTGACGCCAGGATCCTGGCCTCAAGGAATGGGAAGCGGGCAGACCCAGGGGTCCCAAGAGGTCCCCGGGGCTCGGACCTCACATCTCCCAGCCCATACCTCAGACCCTCCTCCACGCCAGGCCCGGCCCAGACTCACGCGCAGGCCAGGCAGCGATGCAGGCCTCCCCCTGGCAGGTCTGGGTCGGGCTCGGCGGCCCGGTCCGGCAGGGAACGTGCGGGACCCTGCGGCCGCAGCTCGCGGTGAATCTCATCCAGGTCCGGCCGCCGCCGCTTCGCCTTCATCTGGCGGGCTAGGGAGTGCGCTCGGTGCGCGCCTGTCCGGCGGGAGCGACCCATGGCGGGTGACAGCCTGGCCAACCGGCCGGGAGCAGAGAAAAGAGCACACGTGCGGGAGCTTCCGGACTGCTCAACGACGTCACGCGTCGCTGGGGGGCGCGCCAGGCTCGGCCCGACCGCCTCTGATGACGTCACTCTCTCGGCCAGCGGCTTGAGCGCCCCCAGGCGCCCGCGGCCCTCAGTGTCCGAGCTCGCGGCGCTGCCTGGCAAAGTTTGCCCGCGGGAGGGCGCGGCCGCGCGGACGTTGGCTGGGGAGCGGCAGTGTGGGGCGACTGGGGGTTTCGTGACTGCGCCGCTGTCCTGCCTGCTCCGGGGCCTGTCATCCCTTCCTAGTTCCCAGACCTTAGACTCCGCGGTGGGGATGGGACGCTTTAAACATCTCTGGAAGGCGCTGATAAATGTCTGTGACGTGAATAAATGAATAAATGACTGAGAGTGAATGAGTTTGGAATTCCAGCCGCAGCAGGGCTCCCCGAGATATCTCCAGTTCCTGACAAACTCCTCACCACTTCTCCCGGCTGCCCAGTTATTCCCTCGGGTCTCCATCCTCCATCCACCCCCAGGCCAAATCCGTGAGGCAGGGTGTTCCTCCCGGCGATCGCGGTGCACAGACGTCCTGTCAGAATTAAGAGGGGTCAGCTCCTCTCACAAGAAGAGGAGGTGCTTATAGAAGGACCTCTCCGTCTTTGCTTCCTTTCTCGGAGCCCTGGAATCCCAGGAGTGGGCTGGCAGCAACGGCAGAGAGACAGCCTGTTGTGTGCTCAGAGTCGGGAGAGGGCCAGCGGGCTTTTCCCCATTAGCCAGAGCCTGGTGCCTCCGAGGCTGGCCAGAGCCAACTCCACTAGAAGGGACCAGAGGAGCTCAGCAATAATTCAGGGGCTCTAGCTTTTTGGAATCTGTTGCCAGGAAATAGGGAGACAGGCACGTGCATCCCTGGGGAGAGGAATCAGTTTCCAGCCCAGACAAAGCAGTGAAATGTAAGCCCAGGGTGCCGACTGGGGCCCTGGGGACCTTCCCACTCCAGTTCACCGAGGCTGAGTGGACACAAGGTGGGGCACAGCTGCTTTGGCTAGTCACAGGGGCTTCAGTGTAGCTCCTAGACCTAAGGATTTTTGTGAACAGAGAGGATTTTTCTGAAGCCATTCTAAGGGATCAGCAAACTCAAGTACTCCTAGGCCTAGGGAGGAGGCCTCTCTTAGAGAAATGCCTTCATTATTTTCGACCAATATGGGTCAAGACGAGGGACTGAAGTGGTGAAAGCCTGCTCTATCCGCCCCCACCCCAGACTCCTTTGGATCGGGTTCACCTGCTGGGCACTGTGCCAGCTAGGGAGTCTGGTGCATCTTTAATGAAGTCACCTGATCCCTGGAACAGGCTCTTGGCCTCACCAAGTTCCTAGAGCCAGACCCACTGGTGCCCACTGAGCCACCACCTTCCTGTGCCTCGGTGCCAGGCCCCTTGCCCCAGCAGCCATGAACCAGGCCTTTTGGAAAACCTATAAGTCCAAAGTGCTACAGACCCTGAGTGGGGAATCTGAGGAGGACCTGACAGAGGAGGTGGGTACCATCCGTGAGTGCTGGGTGGGGCATGGGCAGAAGGACAGCAGGAGTGAGAGTTACAAAGTGGGGCATGAGATGGGCTCTGAAATGGGGGGGGTATATTTATGCAGAAGCCATTGGCACACTCAGGGACAGTAGAGCATGGTGCAGTGTCAGAAAGCCAGGTGCTGTGAGGCACCTACACAAGGACATTCACACAGTTATACCATTCTCACCTGTGCACTTATACAACTGCAGACAGCTGTAGAGAGGCCCACCCACAGCACACAAAACCTCTCTACCCATCCACAGACACCCAAACACATATACCATACTAACAGAACGCCTGCAAATGCCTACAGAGAGGCACGCAGGCATAAACTCCTGCCCAAAATGTTCACACTTGCACATACACCTTCACTGGGGATTCCACACAGATGTATTCAAGGAAACTGAAGAAGAGAAGACCTGGGGCCATGGGACGAGTGGTCACTGTCTCCAAAGATCCAAGGCTGCCCATGGAAGAGATTCTTTTAGGACCAGTGGGCAGTAGCCACACAGGATATACTTAGGTTGGCACAACTTTCTAATGGGCAGAGCTGAGCAGAAATGGGAGTGAGGGATTGAGCCCCCTGTTAATGGAGGTAGGGGAAGTGGCACTTGTCCTCTGAAGGTCACTACAGCAGCATCAGATCAAAGCTGTACTTAGAGCATGCTTTGTTCTGACATTAAGAAAACCAAAAAAAGGCAGCATGGTGGCTTGCACCAGCAACTCAGGAGGCTGAGGTGAGAGGATCACTTTAGGCCAGGAGTTTGAGACCAGCGAGGGCAATATAGTGAGACCCCATCTCTACAAAAAAAATTTTTTTAATTAGCCAGGCATGGTGGTGCACACCTGTAGTCCCAAAGATTTGGGAGGCCGAGACAGGAAGATCACTTGAGCCTAGGAATTCAAGGCAGCAGTGATCTACGATCATATCACTGTATTCCTGCCTGAGGGACAGAGTGAGACCCTGTCTCTAAAAACTGGGAATGGTCTTATGTCTAGAGACTGTGATAAGTGGCAGTTATACAAACAGATGTGGCAGGGGCACATAAATCACAGGTGTATGTATGAATAAATATATATCTAGACAGGTTGGTGTCCAAGGCTAGGCTTGTGTCGAAGTGTCTGGGTGAGTGCTGGGATGGGCGTCTGTGTGGAATCCCCAGTGAAGGTGTATGTGCAAGTGTGAACATTTTGGGCAGGAGTTTATGCCTGCGTGCCTCTCTGTAGGCATTTGCAGGCGTTCTGTTAGTATGGTGTATGTGTTTGGGTGTCTGTGGATGGGTAGAGAGGTTTTGTGTGCTGTGGGTGGGCCTCTCTACAGCTGTCTGCAGTTGTATAAGTGCACAGGTGAGAATGGTATAACTGTGTGAATGTCCTTGTGTAGGTGCCTCACAGCACATACATTTGTGTACAGGTGAAAAGCTGTAGCCATATGGAGGCATGCTTATGTACAGGTGTGTGTCTACATCAGCATGTATATCCTTGTGTTTTTGGGTGTGTATGGATGTGTCTGTGGGTGGGCAAGTCCCCGCGCTCAAGGGTGTCTCGGGGATTCACTATACAGGTATGTGTATGTGACTGGTAGCTTTGTGCAGAGGTATATACCTGTAGGCATTCACATGTGCCTTTGTGGAGGTGTGAGGTGTGCAGGTATGTGTTTAGTTCTGTAGGGTTTGGGGTGCCTGGTCTGTGTGTACTGGGCTAGCAGTGGGGGAAGGAGGTCCTCTGGGGCTTCTCTCACACTGGGTGGGGGTCTTGTGTCCCAGAGGGAGAACCCAGCATTAGTGGAGTCTGAGAAGACAGAACCAACCGAGGAGGCGTCCAATGCCATGTCACAGCTGGCCCGCCGGGTGAGTTCTCCCTTCTTCCACCTCAGTCCTGGGGATCCTGGCACAGGCTGCTATGGAGTCCCAGGAGGTTGTGCATAGACCCTTCCCTGACTTCCACCCACCCCTCTCAGGTTCAGGGGGTCGGGGTGAAAGGTTGGCTGACAATGTCATCTCTGTTTAACAAAGAAGATGAGGACAAGCTTCTGCCACCGGAGCCCTGTGCTGACCAGTATGTGTGTGTGTGTTTGGGGTGGTTCTGGAAGGGGCCTGGGGTCTCCCTTCTGCCATGTCCTTTCCTTCTGGTCTGTTTGTCTTTCTTTTTTTTTTTTTTTTTTTTTGAGACAGAGTCTCACTTTGTTGCCCAGGCTAGAGTGAGTGCCATGGCGGCAGCCTAGCTCACAGCAACCTCACACTCCTGGGCTCAAGCGATCCTACTGCCTCAGCCTTTCGAGTAGCTGGGACTACAGGCATGCGCCACCATGCCCGGCTAATTTTTTCTGTATGTATTAGTTGGCCAATTAATTTTCTTTCTATTTATAGTAGAGACGGGTCTCGCTCTTGTTCAGGCTGGTTTTGAACTCCTGACCTCGAGCAATCCACCCGCCTCGGCCTCCCAGAGTGCTAGGATTACAGGCGTGAGCCGCTGCGCCGCCTATTTGTCTTTCTGACCACAGAGGGCTGGGGAGGGACAGCTCCATGCTGTTTCTGTTTCCTGTCAGTAGGAAAGAGGCCAAACCAGCATATCTGGGAGATTAGGTTAGCCCAGGAGATATCTACCAGCTGTTGGGATTGAGGTGCTAGAAGGTATTTATGGGCTCTCTCTCCCCACCCGCTTGGGAGGGGCTATCTCCCTAGAACCAGGGGACAGAGGAGAATACCTTTAGGTGTTTACAACAAAGGGGACCCAAAGAAATAAGAAAAAATAAAAAAAAAAACCAAAGGGGACCCAGATCAGTGGTTCCCAAACATTGTCTAACCCCTTGTGAAGCTGGGGGCTGGCAAAATTCCGGTCAAAGGGTGGTCCCTTTTAATGTCCTTAGTGTCGGATCCTCCTTCATACCGAGTGACCACAAGGGAGTAGCAAGGCTCCGAAAAATGGAGGCCTTTCAAGGGTCGGTGGGCCCCAGATTTTTTTAGAGAACCACGATTTTAGACGCTCTTTTATGTTAAAGATTAGGGTTCAGACTCAGGACCTCAGTCTCCCTCCTTGCTCACACTCCTTTTCTGCTCTTTCATCCAGCCAGTCACACTCCCCCCCAACTTCTTCCTTTCTCCTAGGGCCCCCCTTTCATCTCTCCTACCCGTTTCCTTTCCTCCTCCCCACACGCATCCTCTCTCCCTCCCAGTTCTCCCCAGATTTGAGGCTCCCACTGTAAGCCTCATCACCCCTGCTTCACTGCCCTTCCCCCCACATCTGCCACCCACCGCCATCCACTGGCCCAGTTTCCGTCTCCCCTAAGCCTTTAGTCTGGGTTTTCCCCTCTTCTCTCAACCCCAGGTCCCTGCCCCTCCTCTTCCCGAAGGCTTCCCTCCCGTGGGATCTGAGTACCCCCCCCCCCCCCCCCCCCCACCCCCGCTCTCCCAGGCATCCTGGGGCCCCGCCCCTCTCCAGGGCTCCTCCCCCAGTTTCCCAGACCCGCCGCCTCCAGTTTCTCACCAACGGCTTCGCCCCACCGCCCTAATCCCCTGACTGTGTCCCTCCCAGCCCCACTTCCCCGCGCCTCTGAGCCCTCCCCTTGCCTCCAGGCCCTGACCCGACCCCTCGCTCCCCGGGCCTAGTCACTTGACCCGGTTCCGCACCGCAGCCCCCGGCCTGACCCGGCTCCCCTGGACCCCTACTCGGCCCTCGGCGGCGCCCGCTCCCCTTGGTTCCTCTCGGGGCTGCTCGGCCCCGCCCCTGACCCGCCCGTCTCCCGCAGCCCGCTGGCGGCGCGGCCCCCCTCGCAGGCGGCAGCGGCGGAGCCGCGCGGGCCGGGATTCTGGGACGCGTTCGCCAGCAGGTGGCAGCAGCAGCAGGCGGCGGCGGCGTCCATGCTGCGCGGCGCCGAACCCACTGCGGAGCCGGACCCTGAGCCCCGGGACGAGGCCGCGGAGGAAGCTGCTGAGCCCCCGGAGCTGCGGGAGGCTGACCCGGCGGCCGGCTTCAAGTGGGGCTTCCTCACCCACAAACTGGCCGAGATGAGGGTGAAAGCCGCGTCCAAGGGCGACTAGCCGGCAGGCCGAACTGGACGCCCGCTCCTCCCTTCCCCTCATAAAAACCCCTGGCCCGACACCCCGTGCCACCGCGTGCTTTTGTCCGGACATCAGGAAAGGCTGCTTTTTTGGTGGGAGACCTCAGGCAGGGTCCAGCTGGAGGAGCCCTCGCTTTCTTGGCCCACAAACATACCCGGGGCGTGGGAAGGAAATGACCAGACACAGCCCAGGTATCAGGAAGGACTGTGTTAGATTTAAGGTACAACTTTCCAGGAAGCTGGGCAGCCCTGGAGGACTGGTTTCATTGCCCTATCCAGCCTCATTTAATCCAACAACGTTGCCTGGGGCCCTACTATGTGCACAGTCCCTATACTAAGCAAAGAGACTAATGAGAGAACTTATTAAACTACCAGAGAGTCCCACGCAAGGTGACAAATTGAGGCGCCAAGGTAGGGCCTCACGTGGGAGCTCAGAGGAGATGAGGCCGACTGGGGATTCAGAAAGGCTTCTCGAAGAATACATGTAATCTTAGAAGGATGCGTGGAGAGAAAGGGAAAGGTAACCAGGAAAGGGAGAGGTGCGTGGACAAAGCCTTAGAGGTGGGAACATGTGAGAGAAACAGGTGACCTGTGTGTCCTTGAGGGAAAGGGAGTCAGTGGCAGGTTGTGAAGCTGGGGGCTGGCAAAATTCTGGTCAAAGGGTGGTCCTTTTTAATGTCCTTAGTGTCGGATCCTCCTTCATACCGAGTGACCACAAGGGGGTAGCAAGGCTCCGAAAAATGGAGGCCTTTCAAGGGTCGGTGGGCCCCAGATTTTTGGAGTAGATTCCTCCTAGGACTTGCCAAACGCGCTATTCCCAGCTCCTAGCTAGTTTGGGTCCATTTGGGAGTCGGTGGAGAACGTGATCACAATGATGTTAGTGCTAATTCGGTAGTCAAAGCGGCTACCGTTTATTGAGCACTTCCTATATGCAGGGCACGTTACAACTACTTCCAAATACTTTTATTTTCTCCCTTTAATAACCAAGGGGTGCAGCTCCCTCCAGTGAGGTTAAGTGCTTGCCCAGGGTCACACGCTCCAAAACCCACGCAAACCCGTTCACCCCCTTCCTCAACATCTCCCGAATTCAAACTCACGCCCCATTGAAATACGTGTCAACTTTATTCAGCGGGTTTGCTCAGCTCCCACCCCAGACATCACTCCCCAGCCCTGGCCTCCACAGGGGCCACAAGGCCCTCTCCCCCTCCGCTGCATGCGCTGGGAAGGGCCTTCGGGATCATCTTGTTCCATCTCCCCAGGGTTCCGATGGGGAAATTGAGTTCCAGAGGGAGGCGCTTGCGCAAAAGGCGCCCTGCGGAGCCCAGCCCAACCCTGCTCGCCAGACTTCCCGGGAGCCGGCTCCCGAGTGGCCGCGGTCACACCTCGGACTCGCGCGGCGGGCCGCGGGCGCGCTGGCAGCCGTACAACCACTGGATGACGCGCGCGTTGCGCTCCACCACCGACACCGCCGGGCGACCGTCCCGCGCCGAGCCCGCTGCCTCCGAGCCGCCGCCGCCGCCTGCGCAGTCCGGGCCGCCCGCGTCCCCGTCGCTGGATGTCCAGTCACTGGCGTCCCCAGAGCCCAGCGGCGGGGAAGTTGCGGCTTGCGGGCTGGTGTCGGCGCCCCAGCTCTGCGGAGAGAAGCGCTCGGCGCCCAGCACCTCCACCAGCGCGCGCTCCAGGCCGCAGTAGTTGAAGAAGCGCTCCTTCTCCGACAGGGGCAGCGAGCACGTGGGGCACAGCGCCCGCTTTCCCGCCGCTTCCGCGTCATCTTGAGGCGCGGCCCAACCCCCAGGAACCGCAGGTCTCTCTGTTGGGCCCGGGCTGCTCGGGGCGGCGTCCCGGGGGGCGCCCAGGAAGAGGCGCCGCACCAGTCCCTGGCCTTTGGCGTTCTCCTTGTTCACTGAAGCCTTGCAGTCCCGCTTCTGGCGGTAGAAAATGAGGGAGTCAGGCCTTGGTAGCTTTCTGCCGCTGCCCCGGCGGGCGGGCCTGGGCGTCCTGGGCGATGCAGAGGGCCCCAGCTCATTGTAGGGGTGCGGGGTGAGCGGCCCAGGACCCCCGCGCAGGGCTGGCTCCTGTCGCCGCGCTATCAGCTGATGCGTCTTGACATACTTGGCTTTGTCCGCCTCCAGCCTCTCCACCGCGCTGGGGGTCCGTCCCCTGGAAGGGGTGGAGGGAGAGGCCAGGAGCATCTTAGCAGAGCCGGGCAGGACAGTGCCCCATAAGCCGCTGGAGGTATGTAGCTAGCCAAGGAGCCAAGTGCAATTGGCTTGGGCTCTGTGGGGCCTGCAGGGAGAGAGGAACGGTCAGGGAGAGGGTAGGAGATGTCCCTGGCCCTCTTCTGCAGGCATGCCTGGGTTTGGGATCAGTCAGCCACCCCTCCCACATCCAAGTCAGCTGGTGCCATGTCCAGGGAGCAAAGGCTCATGCCATCCCCTCTCCCATCCTTCAGAGACATGAGTGGGGGCTCCCTGGCCACGATGAAATATATGCCCTTTGAGGGTGCCCTAGTCTGGCCACAGGATCATGCAAGCAGACACGGGTAAGCAGGACACTTGGAAAAGGAAATAGGGCTGGTCCCGGCCCAATTCTCGAAAGTGGCCTTAACCGGAAAAAATACCTCTTCCCAACCCAGCAGCTTTGAGCCCAAGACAAGGAGGCTCCCAGCCACAGGCTGGCTCCAGCAGGGCCCACCCTTCCCGCCCCCAAACACCGAGGTCAGGGATATAACCACAGGGTAGAAGCCTCCAGTAATTGCTGCCAACTGCCCCGCCCAGGCCAAGCAGGGCCATCTGGGAAGGAGAGGGAGGTGGTCCCCAGGCCATGACAGCTAGCTACTGCCAGGCAGTCTGTGCCCTCACCAAGGAGATTCTAGAAGGCCAAACTGTAAACATCACCTAGTCTAACCTCTGCATTTCCATTTCATAGAGGAGGAAACTGGCCTAGAGAGGAGGGGCATGCGCAGTCACAAGGAGAGTTAGGGCCCCACACTGGAACTCAGGTCTCTTGCCTTGCAGTCCAGATCTAGTTCGGACTGGATCGCTCACTTGCCTATCAGAACTTTCCTCTGATATGTTGCTTCTATTCCTACTGCTATAAAAACCAAGCAATTTATGTTAGAAATGGGCCCTTGCCTTGCTAAAAAGTTTCTTCCACTAATTCTTCCCAGTAACCTGCACTCCCAGAAATCTGCCCTCAGGCTTCTTGCCCCTTTTTCATCTTGAGACCTCTGACCCTTCACCTCGCTTCTGCTGGGGAAAGGGGCCAGGAGGGGTTGTAAATCAAGAGCTGACAGTTCCCTTGGTAGTAACAGAAGGGGCCACCCACGTGTCTCCCCCTCCCCCCATCTCCCCCTTCCTTCCAAGTTCTGGGGGCTGAAGGGACCTTGGATCTGGAGGCAACAAAGAAACAGAATTAGCCAGGGATGTGGGGAAGGGGCCATGAGAGGGCTTGGGGCAGAGACCCTCCCCAACCCCAGCCCACACTGACTCCACCATCTAGTGTATGTCTAGTCTAGCATAAGTACATCTAGTGTAAGTCTGCCCAGAGGCAGTTGGGGACTGGGAACCCAGGCAGCAAGGAGAGCCTAGCAGTGTTCCCTCCCTGCCTCCCAGGGACTACACTGGGCAGTGGGTCAGGTTCCAAGGTCCCAGAAGGGCACTATGTTTGACTTTATAAGTGCCCTCTGTTCCCTCCTCCCCAGCTCTGAGCAGGGAGACTATAAAAAGTCCCTAAACACAAGGACCAAAATAGTCTACCATCCACTGTCTCCTCCCTGCCTTCTGGGCTGGCCTGGGTGCCCAGCCGCAGACGTCCCCCCCTAGAAGCCTGGCAGCAGTCCTCAGGCTCGCCACCCCTCTGCCCACCTTCTCCCAGTCCTGGAGTTAGTGGTCCCAACGCTGCCCAAAGCTTCGGCTCTCTCGAGTGGGCTGTCTCCTAGGCTCAGTGGCTTGGCACCAGCCTCCCTGTCCTTGGGCCCCTGGGTCCCCTCCCACCCCAGCTCTGGGCTCAGGATGCACTCACTTCTGCGTGGGGAGGCTGAATTGCAGGGGTCCCTGGGCAGGTCCAGACTGAGGGCAGGAGGGACAGCAGGGACTAGAAGTAACTTTGGTGGCAGCCAAACCTCACTCTCCACAGGAAAAGCAGGGACAGCCTCCACCCCCAACCCCCCAGGTTAACCCTTCCTGACCCAGAGTCAGGCCTCGGTTAACTCCTTCCTGATCATACTCTGTCAGCACTGAGGACCTATAAGCCGGGTCCAGCTCCTTTATTTTAACAGAACCAAACAGGCCCTGCTGGGTTCAGTGATTTGCCAAGGAGGCACCCCAGGGTTGTAGCAGAGCCAGCACCCCAAAGGAGGGCTCTTGATCCTCATGCTTCCTCCAAAGGTCTGGGGTGGGGGTACTGCTCATGTGGGGACAGCCCCTTCTCTGTGCCTGGCCAGTGCTCAGACAGTCTGAACGGGAAGGCAGAGCAGGGTTCCAGTCGTTTTGCTTTTTCTCTCTGTGGCAGGTTTAGACGTGTCCTGGTCTGGGTGTTGGGTGGTGTCGAGCCTGCTATCCCTAGGGGTAAGGCCAGGAATCTGTGGCCTAGGGTGCTGCAAATATGTGGGTGAGTCTGTCTCAGCAAGCCTTGGCATGAAGGTCACCCAGGAGCCCATTGGAGGTGCCTCTACCCAAGGTCCTCTGATGGCAAATGGGATAGGCTGGGAAGAAGGTGGTGACGGGCTGATTCTGGGGCCAAGCCAGGGTCCTTTGGCCCCCTTCGTCCTCTGCTCCCACTTGGGGACTCCTAGAGCTGCCAGAGTCTCTTTTGTGACACCTCCTGTCTGAGGTGAAGCTCTACCCCACTGGAGAACTCCTCCCCTCTCCCCAGCAGATAAACTCTCTAGCACCCAGAGTTCAAAGACCTGCCCCCTTTGCTGGCCACTGTCCCCAGTCCCTCCCCCACCCATCTAGCACTTGTTAATGTTTGTAAAGCATGTTCCCCTCTGTGTTCTCTGATCTCCTTTGACCCCTCAAGGTCTCTAGACAGGGGCCCTGCAGTGATGACCAGCCATGCTCAATGGGTAAGGAAACTGGAGACAGGCCCAGGCCCAGCTCCCCATCCGCTCTTCCCACCTCACTACCCTGCAGAAAGCCCAGGGCCCATCTCCTGGGAAGGGATTTTTATTACAAAATTAAATAGAGGGTGGGTTTGTTTTGGGGGGTTGTTTTTTCTTTCTTTTTTTGTCTGTGATAGTTCCATGTTGTGTTGTTGCAGTCCTTTACAAAATGCTTTCAGTTACATTATTGCAGTTAATCCCAGGACAATTTATTTTCCCTATTTATAGTGGAAGAGACTGAGGCTCAAGAGACCCGAAAGGACTTATCCAAGCTCACACAATTAGCAATAACAGCTCATTTTTACTGAGAGATTACTATATATTAGGGGCTGTTCTAAATACTTCATATAAGGATTAACAGATTTCATCCTCAAAACAATCCAATGGTATGGCACTTTCATTCTAGTTTTGTAGATGAAGGTTGGGGGCACAGGCTTCAGCCCTGAGATCTGGTCACGAAGGGGTTAAGCACAGGGAGGCTGGGCAGGGCCCAGCTGGGATGCTGTCAATGGCAGGAAACCTGGCCTGCCAAGGGGGGAGGATGGGGCTTCGGTGTCTGACTCTGCAGCAACCCCCTTCCCTTTGGTCTTATGGCAGCTTCTGGGTGTGGGGGACTGGCGGCAGGGCCCCCTGCACAGCTCCCTTGTAGAGACCAAGGACAGATGCTGGGCTACAGAAAGAGGGGATTCAGGGTGCAGCCTCTGGTCTGCTGGGGGTTGCAGTCCTCCACACAGGAGCCTTCAGTCAGAAGTGACCCCACCTCCCCTCAGAGAGGGGAGACAGTCCCAGCAGCCCCAGCACTAGGAGCTCCCAGTCGGAGGGGCGGGATGCAGCGCTGTCCCCAGGAATCTCAGTGGGGCAGGGAGGATGGCTGGACAGCCTTGGTCTCAGCAGCTCCCAGTCTGAGGGCGACAGGACCCTGTCCCAGGACGCCAGTGGACAGAGTCCTAGGAGACACAGGCAGAGCAGGGTCATGGAGGACAGGTCAGCTGGGTAGGCTTTCTGGGTAAGGGCCCCTGACAGAGCCAGTGGGGGCGTCCGCCTCAGCCACACTCCCCGTAAACCGGATCCTCTCTCCTGCTCATGGGTCCCCAGGGAAGGCCTGAAAGTGGCTCTTTCTGGCCCTAGAGCCAGGACCTCAGGCAAGGGGGAAGGCCTGTGTCTGAGGGATGTTTCCTTCCTATTTCCGACCTCATTCCCAGATCACCTCAGATCGGGAATGGGCCTGAGTCAGAACTGGCTCCTTCCAGGAGAGGGTGGTGGGAGGATGGGGAGCAACTCTGGTCATGTCGGGAATGAGCCGGGTCAGAAAGGCCCTTGGGATCCAGCCTCATACCCCACACCCACGTTGTCTCACAGGAGACGCCTGTCAGCCTGCAGCCCCCACACCTCAGCCCTGCCTTTGATTCCAATCCTGGTCTAACGCACTGGCTGGGTGGCCTGGAACAAACACTTAAGCTTTCTGGTTTCCTTCCGTGTCCAACAGGACTGATAAGACCTAGCTCCCTGTGGTATGAGGATAGGGGCTGAGAAGGCACCTGGCACCTCTAGGTGCTCCGGAAATGCTAGATGCATCTGACGGGTCAGCTTTTTCCCCTCACCAACACCTTCCTGACACCTCTGGCCTAAATCTCGCAGCTGGGAACACCTGCAACGTGCCTGGGGCCAGCAGATGGGTCAGAGGAGGTTTGTTCTCAGGCCTGCTGGGTGGCAGACACCACTATTGACTGGGGATCCAGAATGAACAAAGCAGGGGAGCGTGGGGGGCGATTCGTCCTGCTCAGGGTAGGGTGGGAAGCTTCAAAGAGGAGGGGTGTCTGAGCTGGGCCTGGGAGGGATTTTGGATTGGGTTGGGGGTGGGGAGACGTCAGAGCAATAGGCCAAGAGCACCACTGGAGCCAGGGGCTCAGCAGGGCAGGAGGCTAGGGAAGGGGTCGCAGAGAGGGAGGAAGGGAGGGAGAAAGGTGGGGGGGAAGTAGGGGGGAGAAGGCTCAGGAGGACTTAGAGGAAAGATGGGGTGCAGAGAAGGAAGGAGGTTCATGAGGAGATGGTTCAGTGAGGTGATGGGAAAAGGTGGGTTCAGGGTGAGAAAAGGGGGCGCGAGGGGGCTTTACAGAAAAGGTGGGGCTCAGAGAAGGGAGGGCCTGGGGACTGAGCTTCCTTGAAAGGAAAAGAGCTGGGGAGGGGGGCAGCACGGGCGCCTGCCAGGCCCCCCGCAGGGATTAGAGCAGTTATCCTCTAATTCAGGGCTTTCCGTTTCGGAAAGAATCTCGGGGCAACAATAGCCAGGCCCTGCCTGGGAGGGGCGCGGCTTCTGGGCAGAGCCCTGCTCTCAGAAGCCCAGGACTCACTGTGGGGGCAGGCGCGGGAGTAGGCAGGAAGATTCCACTGAACACTTGTGTGTGAGCAGTTACGTGTTGCCAGCGAGGAATGTGGATGGGATAGGATTTGTGCTCTGACAGAGTTTATAGCCTAGTGGTGGAATAACAAACCAACTACGAGTGTTTCCCACGTGCTAGGCACTAGCCAGGTGCTTCACACTCAGTGCCTCACTTGCTTCTTACAAAACCCTATGCGAAGTGGGTGTTATTATTATCCCAGTTTTATAGGGAGGAAACAGGCACAGAGAGGTGAAGTAACTCACCCACAGTCACACAGCTTGCAGATGGTAGAGCAGGGACTCGGGAGTCTGAGCTTGTGACTGCCTGCCTCTGTTGTGCTCTGGCAGGGTAGGACACCCAGAATTTCAAGTCCTTGGGACTGAGGAAAGGCTGGGAGTGAGGGCAGCCCCAGCTGCCTTCCTCGCTCCATTTCTTGTTGTATAAGGCTCGGCCACCACATCTTCAGCATCTGCATCTCCACTGTCCACCACTGTCTTCACGACAGAGCCTTTAGACTGGCTACAAGGAACAAAACCCATCCAATCTAGACTAAGGAGAACAGGGGAACACATGGAAGAAGAAATCTATCTTCCTGCAAATATACCTTCATAATGACAACACTGAAAAATATGTTTTGATTTTTTTAAGCAAAGAAGGTTGGCAAAATATAAAAAATGACTGAATTTAATTATTGAACATGTATGGGTATTTGTTAAAAGGCCAGCAGTGTTGAATGAGTAAGACAACAAAGATATGCATAATTCACAAATTATATTTTTATTCTATAAAATTTATTTTTCTTGCCTTGATTTCAGCAAAATTACTAACTGTGTTGCTATAATCAAAAGTCTCAATTTTTTTTTTTTAGATAGAGTCTCGCTTTGTTGCCCAGGCTAGAGTGAGTGCCGTGGCGTCAGCCTAGCTCACAGCAACCTCAAACTCCTGGGCTTAAGCAATCCTCCTGCCTCAGCCTCCCAAGTAGCTGGACTACAAGGCGCATGTGCCCACCATCCAGCTAATTTTTTCATATAATTAGTTGGCCAATTAATTCTTTCTATTTATAGCAGAGAGGGTCTCACTCTTGCTCCAGGCTGGTTTACAAACTCCTGGCCTGGAGCAATCCGCCCGCCTCAGCCTCCCAGAGTGCTAGGATTACAGGCGTGAGCCACCGCACCCGGCCAAGTCTCAATTTGTATTCTACTGACAGTAATTCCAAATTAGATAATTTCTTTTTCTTTAGTTTTCTTTTTTAAATTTCAATTTGGAAGAAACCTTGCTTTGCTGAGTTAGTAGTATCTGTAATTGAAAATAAAATTCTTCAAGTGATACTTAAATTTAGAGATGAACAATGAATTATATATAACATGTTTAAACATTGAGGCTGGGCATGGTGGCTCATGCCTCTAATCCTAGCACTCTGGGAGGCCGAGGCGGGCTGATTGCTCAAGGTCAAGAGTTTTTGAGGCCGGGCGCTGGTGGCTCACGCCTGTAACCTGCGCTTTGGGAAGGCCGAGGCGGGCCGGATTGCTCAAGGCAGGTAGTATCAAAACACCTGAGCAAGAGCGAGACCCCATCTCTACTAATAAACAGAAGAGAATTAATTGGCCAACTGATATTATATATATATAAATACCGGCAATAGTGGCGCATGCCAGTAGTCCCAGCTACTTGGGGAGGCTGAGGCAGAAAGGAATCACCCGAGCCGCAGGGTTTGAGGTTGCTGTGAGCTAGGCTGACGCCACGGCACCAGCCTCCTAGCCTTGACAACAAAGTGAGACCTTCCTGTCATCAAAAAAAAAAAAAAAAAAAAAAAAGAGTTCGAAACCAGCTTGAGTCAAGCGAGACATCTGTTTTAACTAAAATATGAGAATAAATCATAATGGCCCGCAACTAAAAATGTATGGGAAAAATTAGCCGGGCATGCCTGTAGTCCCAGCTACTCGGGAGGGTGGGGCAGTAGGATTGCTTGAGCTCAGGAGTTTGAGGTTGCTGTGAGCTAGGGCTGATGTCATGGCACTCTTGCCAGGGCAACAGAGTGAGACTCTGTCTCAAAAAAACAAACAAACAAACAAACAAACTAAAAAACATTGAAATGGAGTATATATGATAAAGGATGATTAACACAGAACATATTACGATGTTTTAATATCTCATTCTATACACCCCTATCTCTTATGTCACAGTTTTCATCATCTCATAAAGCAAACCTAGATTCGTAACAGTAAAGAATTGGCACCATGCTTCCTGCATATTATGCCTAGCCTTCATTTACAAGTTTATGAGTAAAGATATATTGTTTAATGTTGCAGAATGTTCCTCAGCCATTCTATGCTTCTGTTGAAAATACAGTAGTCCCCTCTTATCTGCAGGACATACATTTCAAAAACCCCAGTGGATGCCTGAAACCACAGCTAGTATCCAACCCTATATATACTATGTTTTTTTCTATATATACATACCTATGGTAAAGTTTAATTTATAAATTAGGCACAGTAAGAGATAAAGAACAATAATAATAAAATAGAACAATTATAACACTATAGTAATAAAAGTTATGTAAATGTGGTCTCTCTCCCTCTCTCAAAATCTTTGTATTTTCTTTCTTTCTTTGTTTCTTTTTTTTTTTTTTTTTTTCTTTCTTTCTTTGTTTCTTTTTTTTTTTTTTTTTTTTTGAGACAGGGTCTCGCTCTATAGCCTGGGCTAGAGTGCCTTGGCACTAGCCTAGCTCACAGCAACCTCAAACTCCTGGGCTCAAGCAATCCTCCTGCCTCAGCCTCCCAAGTAGCTAGGACTCAGGCACAGACCACCATGCCTGGCTAATATTTTATGTTTTGTAAAGACCAGGGTCTCACGGTTGCCCAGGCTGGTCTTGAACTCCTGGCCTCAAGTGATCATCCGGCCTTGGCCTTCCAAAGTGCTGGGATTACAGGCGTGAGCCACTGTGCCCAGCCTTAGTTATCTTAATGTACTGTGCTCATGCTTTTTCTTGTGATGAAGAAAGGACGGGGAGGGACAATATATGATTTCATCACCCTACTCAGAAGGGCACCCAATTTAAAACTTATGAATTATTTATTTCTGGAATTTTCCATTTAATATTTTCAGACGATGGTTTAGTTTACTGTGGGTAACTAAAGCCACAGAAAGTGAAAATGTGGACAAGGGGGGACAACTGTGCCATGCTACAAACTGGACCACGAAGTGAAGCAAGAAAATGGACACCAAGCACTGCTGGGAAAAAATATTTCCTTAGGCACGAATCTGCAGCATTCATGCTCTTTCAGGGGAAGAATTTGACAAGTTAATTAATGTGTCTTTTAGGGCCAGGCGAGGTGGCTCACACCTGTAATCCTAGCATTCTGGGAGGCCAAGGTGGGCGGATCACTTGAGCTCTGGAGTTCGAGACCAGCCTCAGCAAGAGTGAGACCCCATCTCTACTAAAATAGAAAAAATGACCGGGCATGGTGGCACTTACCTGTAGTCCCAGCTACTCAGGAGGCTGAGGCAGGAGGATCGCTTGAGCCCAGGAGTTGAGGTTGCTGTGAGCTAGGCTGATGCCATGGCACTCTAGCCCGGGCAAGAGAGGGAGGCTCTGTCTCAAAAAAAAAAAAAAAAAATAATAATAATAATAATTAATGTGTCTTTTTTCTTACCTAAGTGCTTTTGCCACTCAGTCTTCCTCAGGCTCCAAACAGTGTCTGTGTCCAGCAGCAGCAGCAGCAGCACAGCCCATAAGCTTTCATGGCATTTGGATACAGTAGTCTCTTGTTTCAAGGACATAGGGCAAGACACGTGGAGAAGCGTGTGTTTCCCTGGTCAAATGGAGTTAGAGCAGATGTCAAAGGCCACAGCTTACACTGTGCAGCATTGAGCACTGGGTCCTGAGTGACAGAGGCCCATGGGTCTTTAATAAATTATTTTTGGGTGTTTTTGATATATGAGGTCCTTTAAAGGGCAGGGGCCCCTCTAGCCAGTTCTAAGGGTGGCCCTGAGGCCAGGAGGGTGTTGTGTCATATTGAACATCCACAACCGTGGGGACCTACCCATGGTTTTATACAGGAGGTGGGCAATTCCCAGAGGACGTGGAGTCGAGGGCTGCACCCCCGAGGATGCATGTTATAACCACCATCCCCAATATCACCATATCATATTATACCTCAGTATTACAACTGGATTATAATTATCACCTTTTGCACCAGCACTGTCGACTTCCCCATCCTTCTTAGCCCTGTGAACATCTGTGTTTTTTGCCATTCTGCAATTCCTTATCTTTCCTCTGGTAACCTTACCCTGGTCTTGGCCACTTTCCTCCCACTCTCAGTCCCTGTCCTCCCAGAGCAGGGCAACTTGAGTCAGGCTGGGGCACTTGACCTAGGCCAGTATCAAAACCCTATCCCAGTCAGGCAAGTGGGAGGGGGGAGGAGGGGATGGGTATATACATACATAATGAGTAAGATGTACACCATCTGGGGGGATGGTCACGCTTGAAGCTCTGACTCGAGGTGGGAGGGGGAGCATGGGCAATATATGAAACCTTACATTTGTACCCCCATAATATGATAAAATAAAAAAAAAGCCTATCACATTTCTCCAGCCACAGTATTTCCTTCAGAGATGGGCATGTAACTCAATTTTAGCCAAGGAGACTTTTGTTGGGACTGCCAAGATAAGGATTCTCTTCCTTGCTGTGCAAGAACCTGGGATTACAACCTTCAGAGTAAGGCCTGCCAGGGGAAGGGGTAACAGAGAGGAAATAGCATTGAGGGTTGGAGAGAGCAGAAAGTAATCTTGATGATTTGCACCTCTGTAACCTGTCATGTCTGAAACAAACCTATACATGGTCTTCACAGTTGGGTAAGTCAATGCATTTTCTTTTAGCTTAACCCTGTTGGGTTGATTTTTCAGTCACTTACAACTGAAATAAACCTGAAGGAAACACATCACTCTCTCTCAGACTAGGATCGCCATTGTCACAATGCCTGTAACACTGAACATGTGCAGCCTCTGTTTGCTCACCATCCCAACCCATGGCCACAGCAATTTCTCAGGGGGGCTGACGAAACACCTCCAGGTTTGTCCAAAGCTGGCCTGGAAGAGCAGTAGATATTCCCTTTAGGAGTCAGAAGACCAAAGTTCTGGTCCTGACTTTGCCATTAACTCTTGGTCTGGAGCAAGTCACTTTTTCTATTGAGCCTCAGGTTTCTGATCTGTTAAAAGGAGGGAAGAGGGCTGGGTGCCACCGCTCACACCTGTAATGCCAGCCTTCTGGGAGGCTAAGGCAGGAGGATCGCTTGAGCTTAGGTGTTTGAAGTTGCAGTTAGCTATGAAGATGCCACTGCACTCTAGCCCAGGTGACTGAGTGAGACCCTGTCTCCAAAAAAAAAATTTTTTTTAAGATAAATAAATAAAGGAGGGAAGCAGACGAGACCAATGTTTCCCAAATGCCATTCCTTTCCAGTTGGTTACATAAACATTTACCTTGGGAGCTTGTTAACAAAACCGATGCTAAGTTCCCCCTCTCAGAGAACCTAGTTTAGTATATCTGGGGTAGAATCAAGGAGGAAATAAAATGACATTGGGTCCGTCTGAATTTATTGGTATGAATGCCCTTATTAGAGATTCTAAGTTTGTGTTACCTCTTGCAGCTGAAAAGTAGCTCTGATAGTTTGCTTGTTTATTGATTGACATAAATGCTCAACATGACCTGTATCAATGAGGTTGAGATACCAGCAGTTCCCTGGCAAAATTCATAAGGTCTTAGAAGGTAGGATTGTTGGAGATGATTTATCACACAGAGTTGTGTATATCCCCAGACCTGCCGAGTGTGTTTCCTGAGGGGGCCCAGAGGATATGTTCTTCACCTAGGTGTTGAGAAAGCTTTAGCAAGAGCATCATCTGCATCCTTGATACGTTTTATGGTGGATTTCCTCTGTAGCTTGGGTCTATTGGAAGAGGCCACTGTTGAGATGGCTCCCTGATATCCCTGGGGATGATGGGGTCCTGGAGGGGCAGAGGCCAAGTGGCAGGACTGAACTGCCAGAGTCATAGGGGCCTTCACTGGAACATGCAGCAGGAGGGATAACTAGGATGTAAGGGTCTTTGACCAGAGTGTCCCTAGGAATGAAAGAGATGAACAGCTTATTAAATATTATTAAGTTATATAACAGAAAAACCTCCATGTCTTATGGCCAGAGGCCTAATTTGAATTGTCATAAGGGAGCCTCTCAGCTCTGAGCTGATTTCCAGACCAGACTTCTAAGCTAGTTCACAGACTCAAGGCCCTGACTGAATAGGAGGCCAGGTTCCTTATGGAAGAAACTTGCAGCCCCGCCACAAGTGCATACTGTAGATCTTCCTCCAGGAAGAGGAAAGAGAAAATGCAGATCTTTTAGAAACTACTAGATGTTGGCTTTAAATTAAAGCTAACAGGCTGGGCACGGTGGCTCACACCTGTAATCCTAGCTCTCTGGGAGGCCGAGGCAGGCGGATTGCTCAAGGCCAGGAGTTCGAAACCAGCCTGAGCAAGAGTGAGACCCCATCTCTACTATAAATAGAAAGAAATTAATTGGCCAATTAATATATATAGAAACAATTAGCCGGGCATGGTGGCACGTGCCTGTAGTCCCAGCTACTCGGGAGGCTGAGGCGGCAGGATTGCTTTAGCCCAGGAGTTTGAGGTTGCTGTGAGCTAGGCTGATGCCACAACACTCACTCTAGCCTGGGCAACAAAGCAAGACTGTGTCTCAAAAAAAAAAAAAAATTAATTTATTAATGCTAACATCTGGGAGCCCAAGATTCACATGTCCAAAACTAAACTACTGCTCTATCCCCCTCCTCTACAAATCTGTTCTGCCATTGTCTTTCTCATCTGAGTTGATCCTTCTTCAACTCAGCACCCTTCCAATTGCTCAGGCCCAAACCTTGGGATAATCTTTGACATGTCTCCTTCTCTCACATTCCATGTCTAATCCTTCAGCAACATCTTCTGGCTCTGTCTTTGGAATACACCCAGATTTGGAGCACTCTCTCCCACTCCACGCCTTCCACCCTCATCGGAACCACTGTCATCTCTTGCCTGGGTTACTGCCATAGTCTCTAATAATATGTCTGCCTTCTTCTAACCTCAACGTAAGAGCTAGATCAATCCTTTAAAAATATGTCAGTTATGTCAATTCTCTGCTCGAAACCCTGAAAAAGGCTCCCCATTTCACTCAAGGTAAAGCCAAGTCCTTGAGGGCTTGTGGGCCTCCCATGGCCAGGCCTGTGAGCTCCCTGTCCTCACTGCCCACCATCCTCCCTCTTCAGACAGATGGACAGACGGACACACTTGGCCTCCTTGCCTGGTCCTTGAACCCACCAACCGTGCTCCACCTCAGGGCCTTTGCCCCTCTGCCTGGAATGCTTCCCTTTAGTTATGTGCTTTGCTGGCTCTTTCCCACCTTTAAGGCTTTGTTCAAGTCCCACTTGGACAAGAGTGTCCCCAACGACTTTCTGAGAAATTCAGTCGGCTCCTTGCTGCTGCATTCCCACTCCTTTCACCCTGCTCCACTTTTTCTCTATTCTTTTAACTTATCACACCCACACATACTAAATAATTTACTTATTTACATTCATAAGTGTCTCCCATGACTAGAATTTAAGTTCAATGAGGGAAGGCCCTTTGTTTTGTTCACTGATAGATCCAAGCACCTGGAACAGTGCCTGGCACATAGCAGGTGCTCAATAAATCTGTTTAATGAATGAGTTTTGACCCTGGAGAGACTATGGACCAGGCTGGAGAGGATGTCTTGGGAGAGTGGGTCTTGGGGGCCAGAAGGGTCCCAGAATGCTTTCCAAAACCATACGGTTTCCTCTTCTGGCCAGTAACACATGGATGGAAAGGCTGCTGCAGGGTCCTAGGAAAGATTTCCTTGCTCTCATGGAGACACAGGAAAAAAATGACCCCTTTCCTATTCTAATTGCTCTGTCTAGATGTGTTTCTTAGAACTATTCTGGTCATCTTGGGACCATGAGGAGAGCAAGTTTAAGGCAAAAGGTGCAGCTGGGGGCAGGGATAATTTGGGTCCTTTACTTATAAGGCACCTTCAGGGGAGGCCTTGCTGTCACCTAACTCAGAGTCTGTTGCAGATGCTAAAAGAGTCCCTGGTCCAAGGTCACACCCTTCCCAGGGCATCAGTCACCTGTATCTGGTGATCGAAGGAGGCAGGTGTAAAGCTCAGGCCATTCCAGCTTGACGCAGGACACTCAGACAGACAAAAGTCACTTCAGAGCTCCGAGCCAGGTCAGTTGAGCTCGAGAGGCCACCTTACCAGATCTAAGAGAGGACTGGTCATTAGGATATGGGAACCTAGTCCAAGTCTTGCCTATTGATGCACTGCGGGAGCTGTGGTTAATTACTTACCCTTCAAAGACTGCCCTAACAAGGAAGCCTGAGATTAGTGTGGCACTGTAAGGCACAGGTCATGATGACAATTTTATTTCCAAAATCATTCCACCCTACCCTACAAGACTTTTAGAAAGCATGACCATGGGATAGGGGACATGAAAAGACTCAGATTGGGGAGTGTTTACTCAAGGGCACCAGAAAGCAGAGTCAGACTGAGTTTGAGCAAGGTAGTCCGGGCTCATCCGCCAGAGGGCAGGCTTCGCCCTCCAAGAAGCGTCCCTGGTATCACTTCGCTCAGTGTTTCTTTTCTGAGCACAAGGGTGGCACGGCTGCCTGGCATCTCTGTGCATCCCTGGACATCCTAGGTGGTGCTGTTCTACCTGGGGACTGCTCAGATGGGGGTTTACCTTGACACGTGGTGCTCTGTAAAGCCAGTTAATCAGTAAGAGCAGTCATTCCTGCATTTATATTTTTCCTGTTGCTTATGAAATATCTTCATATACATTTTTCTCACCTGGTCTGCAAAGCAACTTGGAAAAATAACTTATTATTACGGCTACTTTTCAGAAGAGGTAACTGAGGCTCATAGAGGTTAAGTGGCGCCACCAAAGTCATATAGTACATTACTGCTGCTGCCGCTATCACTGACATTTATTAAGCACTTGCTGTGCGCTGAGGATGATGTTAAGCGTTAACTTATTTAATTCTACAGTAATTTAAGACAGTAAAGTGCTGGCATGGGGTAGGCTATGTTATTAGATGTATACTGATTTAGAAATGCTATCTCTCTCTCTGGTGAATTGAACTTTTATTATTAGGTAGAAACTCTATCTCTAGTGATGCTTTAGCTTTAATATAGTTATTTCATCTTTTTCCCTCTAGTATTTCTTTTTACAAACTTTTTCAATGTATGTTCTTATGTTTTTGATCTGTCTTTTGTAAACAGAACAGCTGGATTTTATTCTTTTATTTGGTCTGATACCCTTTATCTCTGGAGAGTTTAGCCCACTGATAGAGATTAATATATTTTTATTTATTTTTCTCATCTTGTAATGTGCATTATATTTATTCTACTTTTCCTCTCTCCTTTTTTTTTTTTTTTTTTTTGAGACAGAGTCTTGCACTGTTGCCCAGGCTACAGTGCCATGGTGTCAGCCTAGCTCACAGCAACCTCAAACTCCTGGGCTCAAGAAATCCTCCTGCCTCAGCCTCCCCAGTAGCTGGGACTACAGGTGCATGCCTCCACTCCAGGATAATTTTTTCTATTTTTAGTTGCCTGGCTAATTTCTTTCTTTCTTTTATTTATTAGTGGAGTCAGGGTCTCGCTCTTGTTGAGGCTGATCTCGAACTTCTGACCTCAAGCAATCTTCCCGCCTCAGCCTCCCAGAGTGCTAGCATTACAGGCATGAGCCACCACACCCATTCTTTGTACATTTTAATGTTATGAGTTTCATATAGTCTGACTTGTGTATATTATGATTTATAGTGATAACATATCATTTAATTTTCACAATTAATCCAGAGAGGTAGATATTATTATACCTGTTTCATACACGAAGAAACATAGCTCTGAGATTAGTGTTAGGGTAACGCTGGCCTCATAGAATAAATTAAGAAGTATTTCCTCTGCCTCTATTAATATTTTCTGGAAGAGGTTATAGAGAACTAGTATAATTTCTTCCTTAAATATTTGTCAGAATTCACTGGTGAAACCATCTGGGACTATACCATTCTCTTTCTGAAGGTTATTATTTACTTATTCATTCTCTTTAATAGATATAGGCCTATTCAGATGGCCTATTTCTTCTTTTATGAATTTTGGCAGATTATGTCTTTCAAGGAATTGGTCTATTTCATACAAGTTATCAAATTTG